GATCAGGTACTACTGCTAGCCGGTAAATTATCTGGCCACGCAGCGGAAGCCTACCGGGCCGTGCCTGATGAGGACAGCATAGATTACCAGAAGGTAAATCAAACCATCCTAGTCCGGTATGCCATTACCCCTGAGGCATACCGACTCCAATTCCAGGACCTGAGTTTGCGCACTGCTTACAACGAGCAGCCACTGGGTGGATTGAGGCAGCGCAAGAAACTACACGGAAAGAGATCATGCAACTACTGCTGTTGGAACAGTTCTACCGGAGATTATCTACAGAGATGCAGAACTGGGTAAGGGACCGTAAACCGTGTACCTTACAAGACGCAGCTAAATTAGCAGATGAACACCAAGACACTAGGCGAGAGCAGCGCCCACCGCCTAAGGTATTTTCCCAGCCAATCACCCACCGGCCTGCCTTGGCCGATCCAGCTCACCCACGATCGGGGTGGGGCCAACAACCAGTACCAACCAAGGTACCCCAGCCGGACACACATCCAATGCCACACATGCAACCAACTAGGGCATGTACAAAGAGAATGCGCCCGAAACAGGGCACGACCAACATGGCCCAACCAAGGCCAACCGCCTGGCCCTAGAGCTGCAGTACACTGCTACCAGATGGGAGCATTTATCCAGCCCTCCACAGCCACCCAGATGGCACTCTCCACGAAGTTAACCCTGTTCAAGCGGCATCCGACAACCGCCAAAGCCATCGACAAGCTGTCCACGTAGAAGGGAAACGTATGGAAGGACTGAAAGATTCCGGGGCCACCATCACCTTGGTCCGAAATCACCTTGCCCCAAAAGACCAACTTACGGGGGATTGTATAGCAGTACGGGTGGCAGGGGGAGCAATCTACAAGGTTCCCACTGCCAAGATACATTTGAATTGGGGAGCGGGGTCCGGGAACGTGGAGGTGGGGATGATGCAAGACTTGCCAGCGGATGTTATTTTGGGAAATGACTTGGGGGAGCTCACTTCCACTTTTGTTCCTCGAACCACCGTATAAATATAACTGGCGTTTAATAAAATTTGAATTGGTTATAGAACACATCTCTTGTCTTCTTGACTGATTCACAGGATCCTGTCTAACAAAGAGGGTGTGGCTCTGACAAAATATCCATCTAACAAAGAGGGTTTCGTGTATAGCTGATTTTATCCCCAACACACGTGTAACTGGAAAGGTAGCCACCACACTATAACGATTCCTTCAAGTTTTCAAAATTTCCAAAAATCAATTTACTGAGCAACCAAACTCAAGGCATGGATCAAGTGTTGGTTCCTGTTTGGCTGATACCCTGAAACTGATGTTCATAGGTCTGTATCTAAAAAAAATCTCCTATGGTTCTAAAATCAATGTACAGCAGTAATGTACACTCTCATTGTCGATTCTTCACACTTACTGGTTTATTTAATAATTCTGACAGTGATACTTCACAGCCAAAGATATTTCTTAACGATACTAAATAACGAGGGGACAGGATATACTTTTGTGTAGTGATTCATTAGTCAACCTGCACATGCTTACAATCACTGATTTAGCTGTAGATAAAAAGACAAGGTATTGCTTTATTAGTTAAAATGTAACCTATAATCACAAATGCAATCTGAGGACTGCCAGTTGGACACTTTCCAAAGCATTATTTAAAAAGTGTGTTCAAAAGACCTGGCAGTACCTTACTTCCGAGAGGGCAAGATCAAAGCAGGTATATGTGTATTCTGTTTCACTTTCCCAGGCAATAAAGGACAAATAAACAGAGCTACGTTTTATAAGGTAAAACATCATGCAGATATACGACAACTAAGAAGTGAATCTCTGAAACATTTTTTCCACCAATTAACACACAGACAAAAAGGAAGTGAAATCAAACAGATGGTAAATATATATATGATACATTTTTTGATATTTTCATATTTGAAAAACACATTTTAAACATTTATCTAAAAATATTACATCACTTTATCAAAAAAATATTACATAGAGGCCTACATTGGAATCATACAATGTGAAATATATTAATAAAACATTGTATTAGGTAAATTGTTGCAAGGCAGCAAAAGATAGATGTGGCATTGCATATACTTGTACAGCACACTTTACTCAGCCAAGTTCTAGTAGCTCATATTCATCTGAAGAGTCACAGTGAGACTTGAATATTGTCAAAATATCGCACATGGGCAGTTCAAACACATCTAGGTGTTGTGAGGATTTTCTCCTGTCCCCCTTTCACCCCGAAGACTGGGACCAGAAACGCAGGCAGCAGACAGAGGCAAACAGGGATACCACATGGTGCCTTTGGAGATGAGATCTAAAAACACCACAGAACACTCTGCACAGATTTCGAACTCATCTCAATTGATT